CAATTTTCTGTTCTCCCGATTCGATCCGTTTAGTGAGCTCCTAGAGCATTTTCATGATGGCGGGGTCAGTTCCAGATCAGTTATCGTTCGATTTTTCTGGTATAGGCTCGACCCTGTGAATAACTTCCGGTAATGCATCGAGTTCGATTCTGCTTGGTGTTCGATTCTAATTTTGGAGTTGCGCTATCGTAGCTTGCTGAGTCTGAAACATTTCAAATATCATTCGAAGGCTAATCCCGCCTTCTTCACCACTCTGTGCATTCTGATCAGCTGCTCGGGCGTCTCTGCGGACGTTATTTTGAGGGTCGGCGCCTAAATTCCATGAATCGCAACACGAGAATTTACATCGACTGGATATACGGAATGTGGTCCATCGGGATTGATTGGAGGTACTCCATTTCCCGGGGCGACTATGTGCCCGTTCTCGCCATGAAGACCAAGGCCGGTGTCTGTGTGAGTGGGCACTGCTTGAGAGTTTGGCATGTTGATTCCTGAAATCAAAGACACCTACGAGATCAAGTGTAAAAGCATTGTGTATTATGAGGATAATAATAGGAAATCACTGTTATCCTTAGCCCCAGGTGGGCGCCAAACTGTTTACCCTTAAAATTGGATAATAATTAAACTTATAATGTGGTTTTAAGGATACGTGATTTCACCTAATACCAATTGATAAACGTAAAGATAAGAGAAGCAAATTAGGAATAATATAAAGCAAACCAGCATTTGGACAGAGCCCTCGAGCTCGGATACCCTCGAGCTAGTTATGTAAGAGCAGTTAAAATGCAACAAGCTGATAAACAAGAGAATGGAAACTAAAGAACATTATATTGCTTTGATCTATGTGCATGTAAGGTCTACATATGATAGGGACTCCTCTTTATATAGTAGAAGAGTACTAATTATGATATAATTCTAATTTACAGAAGTAAATCCCATGATTAGCCTAAACAACCGCCCTTGATCTGATATGTTCCGGGATTTTCGCCGTGATCTCCGACCGGTTACAGATATCTCGCCTTTCCATTATTGCGCTTCGTTCGAAGTCTGTCGTATATGGTCTCGATTGTTGTTGGCCTCGATCTCGATGAGCACCTTGATTCTCGAGCTTGATACTTTATCTTCGTGTTCTGACCTGATCCATTACGAGATCGACCCCTGACGTGATTCCCTAGTCTCGATTAAACGGCAAAGTCGGGCAAGCCCTATTTTAATCGTATACAATGTGAATTAGTAGTACATGGATAAGAGTATTTAAAGCTAAAAATTAAATTTATGCCCCGATATTAGGCAATCCACGCATCATCAATCCATGTATCAATCCTTGCATAGCAGTTCGTACATTATTAATTACCACAGAAAAATTGCATTATTGTCTACCGCATGATTAAAGACTAAAAGATTCACGCATTATAATCCTCGTATAACAATGAAAGTGCATAAATTTTTTATGTAGCTAACGTACAACGATGGATAAATTATCGTAATAAACTTGATAGAGTGACCTAAAAATAAAAGTAGGATGATGTAATTGGTTAAACTATAATGATAATATAAAATTATCTTCAAACCGCGTATATAACAAAAATACTCGGGGTGTATTTGGTATGAAAGAATTTTCAATTTTTCTTTGTTCGCTTTGCTTGAATTTTTTGAAAAACATTTCTCTAATGAATCCAATTTCAGGAAACCGACTCCGTACCAAGAGGAGGGAAAAACTCTCTTTCAACTCTCCTCACCCCATCCCCACTCCTAAAATCTACTGTCGGCGCTGCAGCCCCTCGACCTACCACCCCACCCATCATCCCTACCTTGCCAAACCCCGACCACTCCCACCCATCCCCCACCCCCGATCTTGGCCAACTCTTGCCCAACCCCCAACTGCACCCAGGCACCCCTGCCACCGGTTCCCCTTCACCCTCGACCCACCACCCTCTCATTCCTTCTTCGGCCCTAGACCAAGTCTTTCCCCCGCCTCCGGCCCATCGTGCCCCGTCCCCGGACCACCGACTTCAACCTCCGACCCCAAACTTCGACCAGTCCCCTCGACTCTCCACCCATGACCCTCGACCCCTGATCTTGGAACTCGACCGCTGACTCTTGACCCTTGATCCAGAACCCGAACATTGACCACCGACTCCCGTGGGTCCCGGCCCGGAACATTGACCCCGACTCCCAATCCTGATCCCCCCTCCCCCGAGCCATCCCACCCACATGTCCTCTGTAGTGATTGCCTAAATTATTTATAAATGCTCTTGGGACAATATAATTTGTTCACTAATCAAACATCATAAAATAAGTAAAAAAACACTTATTTTCCAGAAAAATATTTTCATTCGTACCAAATACACCCTTAATCATGGTTAGTGATGATAAGACTAACGCACTATAATATATTCATCTGTGCGTGCCAATTATACAAAAGGGAAAAGGAAACTCCCTTTGACCATTCCATTTTTTGATAACCTGGTGACTAAGGAACACAACAACATAGGAATTACTGCTAACTTTTTGTTGATTTGCCTCGGTGTTGCCTGGATGTTCATCCAAGTGTGGAGAAAAAAAGATGAAGAATAAAAAAGGACCAAAAACTGGCCTCTCATTTGATCAGCTGTCAAACAGTTTGTGAATTATGACCAGATGCATACATATATGTCAAATATTCAGTCAACAAGTGTCTTCTTCCCAATGCCGTTCACGATTACTTAGATGGCTCTTCCAACTATCATTGCACACGTTGTCACAAGGTAAACTAATTTAGTACTCGGTTTGTTACATTTTAAGTGATCTTGTTCGACTGGAGACGAAATTTAAGAAATAAATTATATGAAGTTTTTACAACTTATAGTTAAAAAAGTCATAACATTTATTTATAAGATTTTTGAACTTCATGGGCTTAAATATCTTTTATGTGACTAGAATCTTTTCATTAAAAATAAAATGAAATTTTTTTAAAAAGTTCAAGTTAAATTTTTTCAATTTAGAAAGCAATCATTCCTTTTTCAATCGACTAAGAAGAAAATAGCAGCACATAAACCGAAAAAAGGAATTATCCCAAGGTTTTTTCCCTTTTCCCTTTTATTGTTTGATAAGTTTCTCATCATTATCCGTTCAATTCTCATCTCTGTCATTTTCTATAAGTCCTCTGTATAGCCCGACTGAATGGCTGTAAAGGATTTACCATAAAGCAATTAGTCTAATTAATCATTAGTCCAAGTATGTGGGAGAAGACAGAGAGATTTTTTGGGCGTCATTCATGCACAATCAAGAACCTATTTTCTCTGCCTAAGTTATTGCCTGTTTGGCCAAGCTTCTTTTTGGCCAAAGGTGCTTTTTTTTTGCCAAATGCACTTTTGGCCAAAAATTGAGGTGTTTGGTCAAGCTTTTGGAAGGAAAAAAAGTGCTTTTGAGGAGAAGCAGAAAAAAGTAGCTTCTCTCCAAAAGCACTTTTTTGAGAAGCACTTTTGAGAAAAATACACTTAGAAGCAGTTTTTTAAAGCTTGGCCAAACACTAATTGCTGCTCAGAAGTGCTTTTCAAACTAATTAGCCAAACACAAACTGCTTCTCACCAAAAGTACTTTTGAAAAAAGAACTTTTGAAGAAAAGCACTTCTCAAAATAAGCTGATTTTTGCAGCTTGGCCAAACGGGCTATTAGTCTTCTCTCTTTCTGCTTGAAAATGATTGTTCTTGGTTTGGTTTTGGGTGAAGTATTCCAAATATTCCTGATTGAGGTTTGGCCTGGAGATGGCATCTTTAATGTGGATGGTGAGCTTTAGAGGAAACAAAGAAAGACAGCTAGCTTTGAGTTCACAATAATCTAAGATATTTTAGACTAAAGTTCTGTATTATTCTATACGCAATAGAATGTGGGATAAGTGTACATGTATTGGGAATACATGGACGATAGTATCTAAAGCTAAAAATGACACAAATTAGACAATCCCTACATCAATCCGTGAATTATGATTATTCATCGCATAGCAATTCTTGCATTATTATTCATCGCATAATATTTCGCGCATTATGATTCACCTCATAAAAGTTTCTAGCTTAGAATCCCCGCATATTAGATTGTAAACCAAAATACCTCTAACAATATTCTAAGTCAAGCATATATCTTTCATTAAGGGATCTTTAGATAAGTAGTCGGCTGGATTCTCTGTTTACTTTTCCTAATTATTATACGTAGATTATACATAAATTATAAACGATTATATATGAATTATAAATATTATATATTTGCTAGTTATTTTTAGTTTAAATGGTTAGGAGGACGGTTATTTAGGTTAATTCTTCTCGAGAAGTATACATGTTTGTAGGCCATTAGCTACTAGGCTACAAAATGAGGCTAGTCTTCTTGGTTGGTTTCAAAGTAAACAGGCCAGCCCAAAAGCCTGTACATAACTAGAACAGATGCCTCTTGAGAATTTTACCTAGGGATGTCAAATTTGGCCCAAGCCTAAGTGATCCACCCAACCCGCCCAAGGTTGGGCTGATTATTGACCCGCTCATTTATTGAACTCAACCCATCTTGACCCACCTCTTTTAACTCATTTAAAGTTGGATTGATTTTTAATCCAAATAGATTCATGAGTAACTTTGCCAAAATACCTGAGAAATAAATTTGTTTTTTGTTTGATATGTTATATATGACCATAACAAAACAAAAAAGTCTTATTTAGTAATTATACAATTCATAAGAAAACATCATATATTAACTAAAAATTGATAAGAGCTGGGCGGGTTGGGTTATGACCCATAATTTAGCCAATCTTGACCCAACTCATCTTAGCCCAAGTAACTTTTGGCCCGCCCAATTATTAACTCAACCCATTTTGCCCGCCAAAAATCGACCAAACCCGCCCATTTGACGCCCCTAATTTTACCCAACACAAGTCTGTTGGAGGAAAAGATCACTCTTCAATAACAAATAAAGAGGATAAAGAAATGCCAAGTCACCAAAAGCTAAGGTCCATTTTGAATTCAGGGGAAGCAATTATTATCCAACCAAAAATACTTACCCAAAACTCAGCTACGGACATTACATTTCAAAGCAACTCTCTTTAACTTAGTAACACAAAAATGAGCACCTTTACAAATCCTGCAACTTTGTTACATCCAAAAATCACCATAACCAAAACTCATCACACAAAATACAACACATTACCCAAAATCCAAGCAAACTTATCAGCTGATGAAGAAAAAATTTCGTGCAGGCGAAAACTTGTCACGACATTTGTAGCCACTTCATTGACACTAGGCCTACAATCAACCCCATTAGCATTAGCTGAAAATTGGGGCGTTCGATCATTTTTAAGAGAACATTTCTTCGAGCCCGGGTTATCCCCTGAAGATGCAGTAGCACGAATTCGTCAAACAGCAGATGGACTACATAGCATTAAGGAAATGTTGGAAACCATGTCATGGAGGTATGTCTTGTTTTACATTCGTCTTAAATCAGCTTATCTTAAGCAGGATATGAAGAATGCCTTGTCCAGGGTGCCTGAAAGCCGAAAAGAGGCTTTTGTTAAAACTGCTAATGAGCTGACTGATAACATGGCTGAGGTACTGTCCTATTTCCTTATCATAGAAAATTTTCAAGACTGGTATGAGTATTTATATGTATTTTCCTTCTTTTTTTTCAGTTTGATTACTATATTCGAACTCCAAAGGTATACGAATCTCGTGTATTTTATGAGAAGACACTGAAATCAATTGATGAATTGGTGGCATTACTTGCATAATATCAAGAGTTTGCACATCAGAGGTGAGTGAATGGTACGAAAATCGCGTTGGATTAGCAAATGTAATGAGACTGCTTCAGTAAGTGGTGAAGAAATATTGAAATTATATACAATAGCAGTTGAAATAGTCTCATTTCATGTTCATTAGTTTGTTCAGAAAAGGAAAAGGAAAAGGTTCCTTTGGCTTTCTTCAATTAGCAAATTGAAGGCTATGAGTATATAATTTGGATGGCCATTTCTGAAACCATCTATATTGTAAATAACAGTTTCTGCTTATTGAAATGTGGATTGTTCTTAAGATTTTGAAGATGAATACTCATGTTAACAGACGCGAATCCAGGATTTAAATTCTGTGGGTTCAGCTTTTAAGATTTTTTCAACATTGAACCCGCTATATTTTTAAAGTTACGAGCTCATATCCACTATTTTTGTAATTTTATTAAATTTTTACTCCACGTCGAAAGTTATGGGTTCAGTTGAACCCGTTGCTAACACACTTCATCCGCCCCTGCTCCTGTATATTTCCGAGTATTACAAAACATAGCAGAAAACAGGAAATCTTTTCATTTTTGAATATTCATGGGGATAAATGACATCTTGACACAAGTTTCATGTTGTGAAAAGTACAATGTAATGCAACTCATGAAACTAACAATTCAAAACACAATACACACAAACAGAATCACAAAGGCTAGCAATTGCAAATGTAGCCAGTTTTTTTTAACAATTTAGCGCCTGGATAGCGCGATAGCTGACAAAATAATAAGGAGAACAAGCAACGCCATTGCACCAAAAGATCCAATGAGAGATCCAGCAGAACGCTGGCAGAAATCTGTATACTGTTGACATATCGAAAACCAGTTAGTTGAAGTATTCCCATTATGTGCTAAATACACAATCGCGGCTGCTGCTGATGCTCCAGATGTGATAAAAACCAGCATTATCTTCAAATTCAAAAGTATAAAAAATATCAGCACAATTTCATAAGCTTGCAATAAGTTTAAATACGAAGTAACTATATGTTTATATAGTAAAAATTTAATACATTACCGCGTCTAGAAAAATGAGCAAAACTCTGCTCTTTCCTGCTCTTCTTCTGATAATATGAAAGATAGAAATAGGGATAGAAAGAGCAAGATATCCACAAGTTATAGCATTCACAATGACAAAGAACCTTTACCACAAAACAAAAATAATGAGTTAGTTAACATTTCAATACAATCTAACAACACCAACAACAACAAGAACCCTCTATAATCCCACCAATGGGGTTTGGGGAGGGTAGTGTGTACGCAAACCTTACCCCTACCAGTGGAGTCTGAGGAGGGTAGTGTGTACGCAAACCTTACCCCTACCAGTGGAGTCTGAGCAGGGTAGTGTGTACACAAACCTTACCCCTACTAGTGAGGTCCGGGGAGGGTAGTGTGTACGCAAACCTTACCCCTAGAGAGGCTGTTTCCGATAGACCATCGGGCCTCGACATCCCGCCGTCCAAGAACTCCCCACCTTGCTCTTGGGGTGACTCGAACTCACAACCTCTTGGTTGGAAGTCGAGTGTGCTCACCACTAGAGCAACCCACTCTTGTCAAATACAATCTAACAACAATTTTTTTTTTTTTTTTTTTTTTTTTTGAAGTGATATGTTGGGATTTGCTTACTTAAACGCGTCGATATCATCATATTGAGCCTCAAAATTTACAGTCTGTGTACTAAAGGAAAGTGCTTGATCTGCAGTACCCATTGCCACAACACTTCCTAAGGCTCCAACAAGTGCAGCAATACGTAAAACAAGATCAAATACAGATATTCCTCTGTTAACTCCATGAACTTTGGCTTTTGATGCATCTCCAGCTTCAATTGATGTGACCTTCATTTTTATTTTCCCTTTTAACTCAAATCAAATTTACTGTTGTGATTTGTATGTTAAGCCTGTTATGATATTAAGTGTGACCGTGTATTTATACTGATTTGTGAACCAAAACATGCAGCTAATTAAACCAATAAGAACTGATTAGAGTGGATATTAGGTAATGGTGACATATAATTAATTGTTCATTTGCTTCTCTAATCAATCAAATTTAAGGTACATCTATATGGTTAAATATACGATAATCCTAAAAGTAGCTAAGATTTGCATTTGATATTTTATTACCTGCTCTACTTTCTCCATAACATGTACTTCAAATCATATTTTTTCAAGAAAATATATTCATGCAAGAAACTGCTACATTCTTTGTACTAATATATTTATTCCTTTTTTTCCTTTTTGAAGTTGACAAGCCTAGTATTGATCATGCACTAGGTCAAATAATAATCTACTCATAATAAAGTATGGTCCTGAGTAACCAGCGGCGGAGCCACATAGACAAAAGGGTGATCAGTTGAACACTATTCATCAAAAAATTATATTTTATATATGGAAAAAATATATTGCATATGTTGGGAAAAATTACGTGTTATACATATATAGTAAATTTGGAACACCCTTAACCTAATTCCTGACTTCATTATTATAATTAACCATAATATTTTGCTTTTGTCTGTCAATATTTTTTTTTGTAGATTGTTAGGTAGCTAATGCCAATGCTTTAGGTAGCGGAGAGCTGAGTTCTTCTTCATCAATTTAAGTTAATTTCAAGTGGTTTTTTGGATTAGGCACAAAGTTGTACTTGAACATAAGAATACTAGAAATGTGAGAATCAAGTACGAGGCATATTCTTTATAATACGAGAAAGTTTAGTGATTGATAATCATAATCTAGGCTTACTATTTAATTAACGATGAGAAAGAAAGCAACGAAAGAGTTCATGGAGTAGGTTAAATCTAACTAATTTCTAGTTGTTAACCTTTTGTTTTCATTTCTTTTTCTTAGGCTGCCTTTGATTCGTTGGCATTTATTTTATGCACTCCTACACAAATTTATTTCGCTACTATGTTGCACAGATTCCTTTATCGGCACATATCAGAAGTCAGATACAAGTATTTACAAGTATTCTGTATGAGTACGTCAAGTTCTTTTGCTAATTCTTAGGGTTGTTTGGTAGGCGGACTAAATTATTCCGGGGATTATAATCTCAAGAATAATTTATACCATATAGGAGGTGGAATAAAATAATCTCAAGTTTGATGGGATTAGATGGGATAAGATGGTATATCCTAGATTAAGTCTGGGGTTAAATTTATACCGTATTTGTTGGAGGTATAAACTTATCCCACGCCAACCAAACACGGTATAAATTTAATCCTACATCTTATCCCACCTTATCCCTCGTACCAAACGACTTATTTTGAAGGATTCACAAAATGCTCTTATCACACCCGTCTAATACAAGTACGTCAAGGTAAATGAAGGATCCACATAGGGGTGGTAAACGGGTGGGTCGGGTCGAACATGGGTGGATAAAAAACGGATAAATTATCCGGTCCGACCCATATTTAATACGGATAAAATACGGGTTAGCTGGCGGATAATATGGATATCCATATTATCCATGGCTTATTGAATATGATCACTTTTGGGAGAATTCCTAGTCTCCCAAGCTTGAGGAACTCTCAATTTGGGCAAGTGCACAGATAGCCATTCTCAGATATGCTATTTAGAGATTAGGTAGTACGTAGTATTTATTTTTGTCCTGAAATTTTAAACTAAAAATCTTAACTTCAGGACAATCCATGACATTTTATAACGATCCGACCGGTCGTTTTGAGAATTAACGCCCCAATCCCCTATTAACTGCTTCCCCCGTATCTTTTTCTGCTAATGTGACTTGTCGGGATGATTCATTTTGAGTTCCAGAGTGTTTTGGGACACTTAGTCCCTAAATGAGAACTTAAGTTTTAGAATTTGGATAGTAGTCAGAACAGTATGAAGACAGCTCCGGAATGGAGTTCTGTTGATTCCGCTAGCTCCGTTGGGTGATTTTGGGCTTAGGGGCGTGTTTGAATTGTGTTTTGGAGGTCCGTAGCTCATTTAGGCTTGAAATGGAGAAAGTTGAATTTTTGGAGTTTTGGGCCGGTAGTGGAATTTTTGATATCAGGGTCGGAATCCGATTCCGAAAGTTGGAGTAGGTCCGTAGTGTTGAATATGACTTGTGTGCAAAATTTGGGGTCAATCAGACGTGGTTTGGTTGGTTTCGGCATCGGTTGTAGAATTTTGAAGTTTCAAGTTCATTAGGTTTGGATTGGAGGCTGAATTGTGTTTTTAACATTGTTTGATATGATTTTAGGGCTCGACTAAGTTCGTATGGTGTTTTAGGATTGATTGGTATGTTTGGTTGAGGTCCCGGGGGCCTCGGGTGTGTTTCGGATGCTCAACGGGTGAAAACTTGGACTTAGGGGATTTTCTGGTGTGCTGGTTCTGGTGTTTTCGCACCTGCAGTAGGGAATCGCAGGTGCGGGGCCGCATATGCGGACGACCAAGCGCAAAAGCGAATTTTTGGGAGAAAGCCTGGGGTCGCAGATGCGAGGGGAATTTCGCATCTGCGATGCCCGCAAGTGCGAGTGAAGGAACACAGAGCAGTCTGGGACCGCAGAAGCGGACGAGGATCCGCAGGTGCGCACACGCAGGTACGAGCTCTTGATCGCAGAAGCGGAAAAGGTGCATTAAGTGTAAAGCCGCACCTACGATGGGAATTCCGCAGGTACATGACTGCAGATGCGGTCCTGGGATCGCAGAAGCGGAAATCGCTGGGTAGAACAAGAGATTTTTGAGGTTTGAAATTCATATCACAAAATTCAATTTGGAGCTCGGTGGAAGGCGATTTTTCGAGAGATTTTGAAGGAGAGCTATTGGGTAACTAATCCTAACTCGATTTTGATCATATTACCTTAATCTATTGTTGTATTCTTCATCTAGTTAGATGATTTGAGTGAGGAAGTTGGGGGGAAAGTTCTCCAACCAAAAATCTGACATTTGAGTGGGATTTAGGCATCGGATTTGGATGATTTTTGCTCGAGTGATCTCGTGAGTGAATGGGCGTTGATAATTTGTGACTTTTACCCGATTTCGAGACGTGGGCTCAGGGAGGATTTCTGGGCGCTTTTCTATTTTCTCGATTTAGCTTTGATTTCATCAGCTAAATTAGTTGCTTGTAGCTATATTTACGTTATGCAATTGATTTGAATAGATTTGGGCCACTCGGAGTTGGATACTCGTGGCAAGAGCGTGATTTCGAATTGATTTGAGCTTGGTTCGAGGTAAGTGACTTGCCTAACCTTGTGTGGGGGGAACTCCCCTTAGGATTTGGTACTGTTTGATATATGAGCTCCGTGTACGTGAGGTGACGAGTGCGTACACGGGCTATTTATTGAAAA